AAAAAAAAAAAAAAAAGCGTCACCAAACTAGGAGACTGGTCCAAAACAGAGCAAAAAATAGCAAAATAATTTTCTCTCGTTCTACCAATAGCACTAAAAGCCTACAGACCCAAACTGACGGCTATCTGTTAGCCTCATGCAATCATCAAAGCTGTCCACAGGAAAGTTCTTAACACGCTCGATTTTGGTTTTCTTTCAGCTCCTCCTGCCGCTACACAGGCCCCTACCGAGCTGACTCACCCCGCTCAAGGGAAACCAAAAATGATCAACAAACACAAGATATTTACATCATACCTCAATATACTTCATTCACACCACCATGAAGTGATCTCGGAGGAAAGCGGGAACAAGGCACCTAAAAGCACGAGCCCTGGAACCCGCGGAAGGTCAGGCAGGAACGGAACCCGCTCTCCTTGGGCCACGATCACGCCTGCGAGGAAGCCCACCTGGTGTTTCAAGTTCGACTCACCTTCTTCTTCTGACTAGGAGTGCGCACTCCTTTGGCTTCGCCCTGACAGCTGACAAACGAGGAAAAGATGGGAAGCGAAGCGGACCTCTCGGTTTTCACATACAGGAGCTTCACGCTCTCCCACTTCTGCAACAGAGACAAGAACGACACTGTCGGTCCACGTCCCGTTTCTCCTGCGCGAACCACCGACTGCTGCACCTGTTAAGACCGCACCTCTGGCAGCTTCTGGGAAAGCCTCTTCGTGACCGCGATGATGTTATCAATGATGTGCTGGACCTCCATTCCCGTGTGACCAACGCGGATGGTACTGAAATGTAACACGGCAGCAGACAAGAAGGTTTTGAAGAATAAGTTGTTTAAGCAATAATAATGATTTGTTTCTCGGGGAGCCTGGGTGGCTCAGTCGGTTAAGTGTCCGACTTGGACTCAGGTCATGATCCCACAGTCCTTGAGTTCGGGCCCCGTGTCAGGCTCTGTGCCGACAGCTCAGCGCCTGGAGCCTGCTTCGGATTCCTCCCTGCCCCCCCCACCTTTCCCTCCCTGCTTGTGTGCGCTCTCTCTCTCACTCTCTCAATAATAAATGAACATTAGAAAAATATATGAAAAAAATTTTTTGTTTTTCAAAATGCAGCACAGGCAGGTATGTGAGAAATCTAAATACACAATCCTAAAAAGAAATGTAAGGTAGAAACATTATAATCTTTAGGTTTCAACAGATTTTAGATTCTCTCTCTTGCTCTCTCTCTGCCCCACCCCATGCTTGTGCGCACACGGGCATGCTCTCAAAATGAATAAACAAATGTTTATTTAAGGTCACCTGGGTGCCTCAGTCGGTTAAGGGTCTGACTTTTGGCTTGGGCTCAGGTCATGGTGAGCTCGAGCCCCGTGCCAGGCTCTGCACTGACAGTGCAGAGGCTGCTTGGGATTCTCTCTCCCCCTCTGTCTGACCCTTCCCGGCTTGTGTGCATGGGCGCTCGCTCACTCTCTCTCAAAAACTAAATACTTCTAAAAATAAAAATAAATAAACATTTTTAAAAGGCGGGGGGGGGGGGAGGGGGGCGCGCCTGGGTGGCTCAGTCAGTTAAGCCTCTGACTCTGGATTTCAGTTCATGAGCACACGGTTCAGGAGTTTGAGCTCGGTGTCGGGCTCTGTGCTGAGCTCTGAGCTCTGTGCTGTCAGTGTGAGGCCTGCTTGTGATTCTCTCTCTATCCATATTCTGTATACCCTCAGTCCTATATAGAGAACACTGATAGAGACCATTTACATCACTGTGGAAAGCTCTAAGGGGTAGCTGCTTCCAGGGAATGACATGCTTGGTAGGGATGGACTTTAGTTTTAATAGAAAGATCTGGTTTTCATTCACACGATCTCGTAAGAGACAGCTTACAAAATTATTACCGAATGAACAGGAGACTAAACAGGCACACACGAGCACCTTTTTCCCTACCTGCAAGAACCACTTTTTGAGATGTTCAAGACAGTCCCGCCTATACAGGTGTCGATCTCCTTGGATAAATTCTTGGCCAGAAGGTTTACAGGAACGGGAACCCTGTAACGACACGCAGGCGCTTGGAGCACAGTGCACGCGCACGGGTGACGTCCACGGGGCTCAGACGCAGCCACTGCGAGGCAACCTACTTCTTTCTGTGATAGAAGTGTCTCCCCAGGTGCGACGGCAGGAGCCGCCGGATTCTCGCATCAGTGAGGAAGAAGTCAAAGCTGCCCAGCAGGCGAAGCTTGGCTTCATAGGGTTTGTATTCCGTCTTTAAAGTTCGCAGAGGGATGATCTAGAAACATAAGAGGAAAAACCCCAAAAGTTAAGGACTTGACCAAGAAGGAGAAACACTCAAGCGGTAACTTGGGTCTGGATCTTAAATCGTCATAGAGCCACACAGTTCAGTCAACCTGCGGCGAGAACCCGCGATGTGCCGGGAGCTGGGCTCACCGACGGAGGCACAAATGGGCTGGGACCCACATCAAGAAAGGACACCGGTGACTATAAGCCACGACAGTGACCTAACGGAGAAGTCTTTTGTGAAGTCTTCAAGATAATAAAGGTACTGCTGTACCTGTGAGCTCTGGGGTCAAGAAACCTCAACGGCTCATCCATCACAGAGAAGATGAAGCCGTCCTACCAAAGCCAGCGAGAACCGAAAAGAAAAAATTAAATTAAAACTTAAATTCCCAGGGGCACCTGACTGGCTCAGTCAGTGAAGCGGGCAACTCCTGATCTCGGGGTTATAGGTTCAAGCCCCACGTTGGGTACAGAGATTGCTGAAGAACAAAATCCTTAAAAACTAAAAAAAACAAAAACTAAAATCCCTAGGAAAGAAATACTAGATTATAAGGTAGTGCAGGAATATGTGATTTAGCACTTTAGTCAAAAGAGTGAATCAGATCTTTTCATTGCCCTGAAAATATTAACCACTCCTGACCTGAGAAATGGTTTTAATTCCATGTTTGTTCAAAAGCTTCTTGTAAAACCGTTCTGTCTTTTCAGGAGTTAAATTGGGTTCATCCTTGGTAAGTAAACAAATATCTGTTAAATCTGATCGAATACCATGAGGCAAGGACCTGCAAAATACATGAGAAGGAAGTGAGGGATAAAGCATTATAACAGACAAAATATACGTTTCTACTCCACAGAATATACAATAAATTCAGTCACTTCAACAAACTTCATTCATGCTAAGCAAATACTCTACCAAGAACATTTAAAAATACATCTAGTTTTCAGCAGTCTTGACAGATTTAAGATTCAAGTAAATGATCACAAATACCCAGCATCCAAAATATCAATTAATATTTGAGATATAACCAGACTTAACATATAATCAAAGATACCCAAGACAGCGCACACGCAGTTATCATTTTATACGATGCTACAAATGCATGTGTTCTAAAATGTGAACAACCTGGTTTCATGAGGATAGTTCTGCTTCAGAACTTTACCCTGCAGAAAACCCTGGATTCCATAAACAACATAACCCTTAAGAGCTGAGCAGAAGAGGCGCCTGGGTGGCTCAGTCGGTTGAGCAACTGACTTTTGATTTCAGCTCAGGTCCTGATCTCATGATTCGTGAGACTGAGCCCCTTGTCAACCTCAGCACAGGAGCCTGCTTGGGATTCTCTCTCCCTCTCTGCCCTTCCCCTGAAATAAACTTAAAAAAAAAAAAAAAAAAAAAAAAAAAAAAAAAAAAAAAAGGCTGAACAAACCAACAAGGACCAGAAAACTTATGTTTTTTTTTGACAGGAGACAAAAGGACCCCACAGAGGCAGGGGTGCCAGAGAGAACACAGGACATGTTATATATATATATATGTATATTTTAGTATAATTATGTCCCAAATATTACATGGACCTACTTATACGAAAAAATTACTTCTATTTTTATTTGCTAAGTCTGGCAACTCTGCAGAGAAGGGATCTCTGACCTAAAAGTCCTAGAGCAAGAAGAATGTGTGATCACCATAGATTTGTTTTCCAGAAGGAGCTCACTGCCGTCTGTAACCATCTCTGCATGTAGGAGCGAGTCGGGGACCTCACGAGTTTAGCTTGAAACTAACATGACATGGAAAGATAACAGAATGTATACAAATACAAAAGCTGTACTAATTTATTCTAAACCCAGGTTTCAGATTCAACAGAACTGTACATTAATCCCCAGAAAACTGGTGACATTTTTAGAAAATTTAAGCATGTGTGAATTCTTTTTTTTTTTTAAGGCGCAATTACACATTTCAACTCATATTTTTATTTTGAATTTGCAAAATGTGCACTAGAAACAAAAGGGCGATGGTTACAGACACACAGAACGACCAAGCCGGTAACAGAGGCAAAGGCAGAAAATCAGAACTTACAATCTGACCCTCAGTTCTTTACTTGGAATCTTCCATAACACCACCATTAAAAAGAAATTTTCATTCTCATTCAGAAGCAATCCATTCGCGTTTTTCCTGGACTTGGAATGTGCCAACAGAGCTTCCACTGCCTTTCTTATCTGCAACGTGGAGATACACGAACAAATTCATTCTCAATCTGATTTATGATTTAGCATTTGTCCCCTCCTCGCGTCTATTTTTCCTTTTTTTTTTTTCCTCCTCAAATTCTATTTTAATGGGCAACCTCCATAACCATCTCTATCAGGATCCTGCCATTTGGGATCAGAGGAATGTCAGACTCATCAGAAACCACCTAAGGATCCACTCAGCACCCGTCTACAGAAAAGAGCCTCTTTCTTCCACGTTAAGGCGACTATCGCGCCAGGTGGGAACATGCTTCCCGGGAACTGGGTGGCGAAGGCGGCAACGCCAGGAAAAGGGCAACACGCAGCTAGCGTATACTGGGGCCATTACTCTATGCCAGGGACCTGACCGAGACCAGCAGAGACACTTTCTTTAAACCCAAGGTCACGGAGGCTTGCAAAATTACCCGATCTGCCAAAGTCAAAGGGTAGGGGAACAGAGCCGGGTGGATCTCACGCCGGAAGCCCAGGCTGTACCTGCATCCACCTGGAGGGCCAGGCCGCAGGGCTGGGGGCGGCGAGCGCTCCCCCCCCCCCCCC